TATGCATACAAAAAATATAGCTTACTATAACATAATGCGATTTTTGGATTTGTATAAATGCAAAAGAAAATACAAGAAGACATACAATAATTAAATATACCAAAAAATTATTACGATTTTTAAAGTCTCGAAAAAAGAATTTTTCACAATTAAAAAAATTATAATCAACAATTATTGTAAAAATAATTTGGAAAACATCGTACAAGGCTAAACAAACAAAAAGAGAAATAGATAATTGTCCAGTTGATGATGACCGATTTAAAAAAAATGGAAAATTAAAGCATTAACGATTGAAACAAGGTTGAAAAAAATTACCAATTTTCATAATGGATTTATTTTTTGTTTTCTGCTTTGAAGAAATCATTTTTCATACAAAATGTTTCCTTTTGAAAGTATTCAAAAAGACTTTTATTATTTTTTCAACGATTACGTGATAATTTTAAATCATCAAAAAAAATGAAATGAAAAATAAATTTGGTGTATTATGTAGACTGGGAAAAATGTGATGGTGGTAATTCAACGAGTGTTACTGTACAGCACGATGGATCATCCTGGGCTTGTTCAATATCAATGATAAAAGTATCCTCATTACAATAATGCTTCAACATATCATCATCCAATTTTACAGTTACACCTTTTGTGCATTGCTTAAATAAACCCGATATCTGCAATAAAAATTTAATGATCACTACTATAAAACGAAACGATATTGTTAGTGAAATGACTGATTATAATATTTGCACTGCTGTTATAAGTGTCATCCAATTTTACTCCGAATGATAATAGCAAAAGATTTTCGAATTTTTAAAACAAAACAAAGGGACAAAGTTTAGTTGTTTATGAAATATTAACAAATTAGAAATTAATGAATACAAATGAAATAATTCATTACCTTTTCACTTTCAACACCAAATTTTTCAACAACTGCTTGTATAAGACCGGTTAATGAGGGAGGTATAATATGCAATGGCGTATAGATTTGTTCATCTCGTTTTCTTACATATAGCATTACTGCAATTTTCTCAACATTTATCAATATATTTATTTGCATGGAATTTGATTAAGTTAATTAAAAATATGGAGAAAATTAAAATATATATTTTTATATATAACTATATCAGTTGTTGTCACAAAAGATGTTCATAACTGAATTGGTACAAAGTATTTCACAGCTTTGTACCAATTCAGTTATGAACAGCTGTTTAAATGCTTTGGAACTTATAGAATTAAAAAAAAAATATCACGAAAGAACTACTTTTAGAAAAACGGAAAGAGCAAGATGAAGGAAGAATATACGCAAATAAACAAAGTAAAAAATTTTTGCGAAAAAAATCAATAGTCAGAGAATTTTGGTAATAAAAAATTCGCCAAGAAAAAAGCGAAAGAAAGAAAAAGAGAAAAAGGGAAAGTGTGACAGCGTACAAAAAATCATGAAATAAAATTTGTTTCTATCATTTTGATTTTTCTTATTTGCAAAACAATACTTTGAATTTTCTTTCAAGAAAAAAAATGCACAAATATTTGAGAATCTTAAACTTTTAAAACATTCCAGCAATTATCGTATGTTAAATCTTAACAATATACTAAAAATTTCATTTTAAATTTTGCTCAAGTATATTTATTATTTTAAATTTTATTGAAGATATTATTTAAAATTGTGTGACATTATGATTAAAATTGAAAGACAAATATAAAGTAATCTGACTTAATTTGCCTTGAAAACTATTATTAGACCAAGATGATGCAAAATTTAAACTATTTCATCATCGGTGTAATAATACATGTGGCATAATGATTGGAAGAAAAAAAATAAAGTACAGTATCCCTGAGAAGAAAAAATTAGTTGGAATGAGAATGTGACATGTGATTTGCTGAATTAATCATTACATTGTTGTCATGAAAAGCAATCTGTGTAGAGTAGCTTTTCATTAGTATACGGTACTCAGCAAGTTGAAATACAGCCAATCAAATATCAAGTCCAATGCAATTTTAGATTATCGATTTTTTTATCGATGAATATTACAATTTCTTAGATTTATGGATATGGAATACATGATAGTATTCGGATTCTTGGGTTTACCGGTACAAAATATATCATAATATTCGGATACAATTAAATACCTAATTATCAGTAAATAGAAACTTATCTAATGCAGAGCTGCTTATTTTTTTAGAGAAGGGTAATCGTAGTAATAGCTGCTGCTCTTAACATATCATAAAGCTAAAATAATGGAAATTCAAAAAAAGATTAGATTAAACGATTAAAACAGAAAAATTGACAAGATCTGAATCGCTTTTCTCATCATATTCTTAAATTTCAAGTAGATCACACTTTCAAACTTTCATTATAATCAAATATCGCAGTAAATTTTCGGGAAAAAACTAAATTGGTACAATTATTGTTGTTTTAGTATTATTTTATATCAATAACAATATTTTTAGCAGTAATAGAATCAAATCAATGATGATAGAGATAGAAAACAAGGAAAAAATGAAAATAAAAAGTATAAATAAAATTGTATGCAAAATCTTACTCCTTTCAGATGTTCTAGGCCGTTTTGTAACCGGTTCCAGTTCCGATAATGGATCAAAAGCCAGGCTACTTTCAAGATAACGTGAATCATACTCGTCAGGCCCAATAAATAAAGCAGCACGTTTGGTTAAATCACTCATATGATAAAATTCGGAACGTTCACATGGATCATGATATTCTCCATCCGATTTCTTGCGTCCTGTAACACTCTTTCCTTTTTTTTTTCAAATTTAAGAGTAAATTTTATTGCATATGTTAAAATGTAACAAAAGCACCCAATAATTTTTAAATATATATATATGTGAAAAAGATTGTTCAACTAAAATATTATAGATTAATTCAAAATATGTTATACATATTGGAAATATTTCAAAATACTAAGAAAGAAGAAAAAAATGAAAATTTTTGTTAAATTTAAACCAGACGGACTTAATCAAACAGTAATTCTATTGCTTTTGCCTAATCAATTTCATTAATTTGAAAAACGGAAAATATTATTGGATGCTTTTCTTGTTTTAATTAGTTTATAAGCAAATAAAATAATGACATTAAATTGACGTGTACAAGAGTAAAATAATTTGGACGCAATATAACAAATAAGCAAACAAAATAGAAAAAGAAACAAATAATTAAAAAGGTTATGGAAAAAAAAAATTTTCTTTTGATAAATAACCTTGAAGTCTGCGTTTTTCATCTCTTCGCGTCTCATGTAGCATTTTTCGGTTAGCACCCTATAAAGCCATTACTACGAAAGTAAAAAGTTTTGTGGCAAAAAAAGAAAAAGAAACGTTAAAAAGAAGCATTTGTTTTGTTATATTACAGTAAGCTTTTTAAAAAAATTATAGCAGATATGCAAATTAGCTGATTGAAAAGCAAATATTAAAAGTAGACTGTTTCATAAATTTTCAATTAACAGTTTTTATACAATTTGCATATTTTATGGCTATTTTGTTGCTACTCTTATTGTTGTTGTTGTTGTTGTTGTTTTTGCTATTTATTGTACAAATAATTTCACAACACAAAGACGATATGACAGCACAAGCACAAAAAAAAAAATTATCATAATAAATTCAAAACACAGGAGCTAAGCGTTGACAAAACAATTGTAGCAGCCAAAGATATCGATAGAAAATTTAAATTTAAATTTCATAGTTTAAGCAAAACAGGGAAAAAATGAGTAAATATGATAATTTTGCTTGATTTTTTGAATGAAATTTCACTATGATATGTTTGGCTATAATACAAAAGCATGGGCAATAAAGCCATTTGCAGATTATTATACGCTTATTAAGAGTTCGTTTCTTTTATTTTAATTATCTCAGTTACCTGTTAATTTACGCTTTTGGGCCCTTTTGTCCTCGTCACGTAATTTTCTTTCTGCTCCCTAAGTTAAAAAGATTGTTTAAATTTTTGAAATTTTTATTCAAAAAAACTAATTTGCCGCAAATTTAATTGGACTAAATTTGATATATGATCGATGATCAGTAGAAGAAAAAAACAGAGTAATATCTTACTAACAATCAATAATAATTGAAAAATAAAATATGATAATATTGCTCGAAACATAATTGGAGCGATACACTTCTAAACGTTGATTGAAGGGAAAATAAAAGATTAATTTTGATGAGAGATTTCTTTGAAAGAATTTGAAAACACAATATGATCAAAATAATTTTAAAATTTCATTCAATTTCCATTATTCTAAATATTACTCACAGTGTAGTGACTAGTAAAAATTCAATTTCTGATTCAAAAAAAGCAAATTTTTCAAATTAATAAAATGAAAAATATATGTTTATAGGAGTATTCGATAGACTATATTGCAATTGAAATTGGTTGTAACAGTTTTAATTCATTAAATTATTAAAAAAGATTTGAATAGCAATTATTTAATCTAAAAATTTTTTAAAGAATTTTTTTAGTTTCAAAATTTATTGAAATTATTATTAGTAATTAAATGCTACATAGGATATTATTACAATTGATAGGCCAGTACATAAGACAATATCATGTTCCTAAGCATTTTTTGAAAATTGCCATCAGGAATAAAAAAAATTCTGCTAATAAAATGGAAATTACAATCTTACTAAAAAGCATACTGTAGAATTCCTCTTTGACTTCAATTGCATTGGTTTTTTCAGTAAACAGTGCATTTTCATTCAAAATTGAAAATTTTATCGGAATATTAATCTGAAATTGTAAGCTATTAGCTAACCTTATCGCAAAATACTTTAATTTGGCAATATCCTCGATGAAACGGAACATCCGTACTGTCATTTTCATCGTATGTGTCAATTTGAATGTGAAGTGGAAGACCTTTGACACCTTTTTGATTACTGAAATCTGTCGATAGACATTGCACTGCGATGCTGATCTAAAATTTCTATGTAAATACAAAGATATGTCTTGTTTAAATTCTGGTTTTTTTACGAAAATAAAAATTTTAAAGACTGATGAAAATTCTGGAAGAAAAATTTAAGAAATTAGAATACTGTAAAAATTGCTCATCAAAAAAAATCTACTCATCATTTTCTAATTGCATGCATTTGAAGAAATGAATTTGAATGAATCAGTCATTTTAATGAAATAACATCATGCGTACAGTATGCCAATCCTATCTTTGATATTAGTGTACTTTGAATAATTTAATTTCTATTAATAAATTAATTGCTGCTTATAATCTATAATTTCATTTATTTGTTGACAAGCGTTGATTTACATGAAATGTTTAGAAAGTGAAATATTTTATTTTTGACAATTTAATTGTTCTCGAAAATTATTCCCTCATTTCATACTTTTGTCTTTTTTCCTTTAATTTACTTTTTCCCTTTTTTTTGATATTTTGATTTATCATAACTTCTTTTCCTCTAACTGTCCTATCATTGCAAAATTTTTCAATTTTACAACAGTCAATAACATTAATTGTAATACTTATTAACTAAAGGATTGAATAAAAAAGTAATTAATGGAATGTACTAAGAAGAATGAACAATGTTGCTGAAATTAACAGTATTTGAAATGCTGCATAAAAATAAAACCAAAAAATTATAGCCAAATAATTACTATCACAAAAAAAACATTAAAAATGAAGAAAAAATTCGGCTAATATTATTAATTTAAACAAGATTAAATCCAATACAATTTATAGTTGACACTTAAAATTTGAATCGATAAATAATTTAAATATAAAAAATGGTTACTTTATATTTCGAAAATTTGAAATTGTTTTGTATGGAATATCGCACAATCAAATTGTACTAATGCAGCACAATTGATCAATAATGCGAAAAATTTTATAAAAATGAAAAAAGTTTTTTAAATGAAGCAACTAACTGATCGTTGCGAAAATGATAAATAGATTAATTAACGATGATAATTTAATAATGATAACTAACTTTAACGCTCGATTGTTCGGTTGGATTCCAATAAAATTGTATAGCATTATGTGCAATTTCTTCAATTTGTCCAATCATACCGGAACTATTTTTAGCATCAATTTCTAGAATTCGTTGTTTCACCGAATGTTGCCTAGAATGCCAAAATTGCCAAGTTTTGATTTCTTCCTCATAGGTTTTATCTTCTCGAAATACGATCATTAACTGACTCTGAAATTTTATGAAAAATTGGGATTTAAATGCTAATTAAATTAAGTTTTAAACTTATTAACATTCATTTTAAAACAAAGTAAAAAAAGAAGCTAAATTTTTTTTGGCTTAAGATTTTATTTAATTAGAATAAATAAAACACTATGAAAAATAGATTTTGAATTTTTTTCGAGTTTTTATGGAAACGAGGAAATTCGTACATTTTAAAAATATTCAAATTATTAGATATTTAAATGTCTAATAATTTGTTAAGAGAAAATAACCTGAATAGAAAATACATTAGGTAAACTTATTATATTTGTCTAGGCATGTAATCCTTATTAAAATTATATATTAAACGATTTATCACTGATATTTATACTTTAGAAAAATTTGCAATATTTAAGTAAAATAAAGCAACACAAATTTTAAGGAAAAATTTGAAGGAAATTGGAATTAAAACTGGTAAGTGAAAAAAAAAATACCATTTCTTAAAACAATAAATGGAAAGAAATCATATGAAGTGTTAAATTCATGTCATAATTATATTTGCTAAATTAACTAAAATTTGTGATAAATTTTAAAAAATTTTTAAAAATTATAAGAATTAATTTAAAAGATTTTAAAGAACATAATATTTATCACATCCATGCGTGTATGGAAAATTGACAACGTTATTGCCTGGATGAGTGAGAGGAAGAAGTATGATTAGAAATGGGTCTGGTTTTTGTATACATCACTTTGTTCACACCCCAATCCACGACAACAAGTTAATCTAGCTTGTTTTGTTGCCATCAATCGTCAATACCGGTAGTTGGTACCAGCAATACTGGTACTAAAACTACTACTACAACTACTACTATATGAGCAGAACAAGAATTGAAAAATTATCCTTAACTACTCAAATATATATATTATGAATATATAATTGATTATTTGTTATCGATGGAAAGAAAAAAAAACTTATGATTATTATTGTAAAGAACATTGAGACTTTTTTATCAAATATTTAAAATTTAATAATTTAACTACCATATATAATTAAAAAGTGAAAATATGGTAAACATTTGTAAAATGTAAAAAACTTCACTAATTGATCATTTATTACTATATTAAACTTTAAAACATGTTTGTTAAATAATGAACTTAAAAATGAAGAATGTCTCAAATATTCATAATGTGCAAAAAAAACTTACTAATAGATAAAATTTCAATGATAAATTTGATAAAGATTTGATGAATAAATTTATTATGCAAAAAAAAAAACTTGATCAAAAAGAAGGAAAAAAGAATAATTTACCTTAACTGTAGGACTTTTTAGTGGTTTACAAAGATCAGGAATGTAATCAAATGAAACGGTATAAAATTGTCCTTTGTTGACGTAAGTCATCCGATCATCTTCTTTACGAACCGATGTTGATATTGGAGCTTCTAAGACGTATTGGAAGCCGAGACTGTTCTCTCTGCAGTAAATGTCATGGTGATAAATTTAATTTAGGCAACTATGCAAAACTAAATTCTCGACGATATGTTCTCCGATAATAAAAAAAGCATTTGAATTAATGAAAAAATTATAAATTAATTATTGAGCTATTTATTGCAAACAAAAAATTCGCTTTTTTTAAATTTAAAAATATGTTAAATTTTTAAGTATTATTTATTTTCCCTTTTTTTGCTGTAAGCAAATTTTATGCTTTTATTTTATTTCACCTTTTTTTTTGTCCGAAAGACTCAATTGCCAATTTATGAGTCATATTATTGATAAGATTGAATGATTTGCATAATTACAGAATCCTCATGTACTATAAGAAAATTTTGAGAACCAGTTTTCTTCAAGAATAATTCGGTTACCAATCGTAAAATTCATCATTTTTGATCAACTGATAAATTGAAGTAGCAAATAGAAATTTTTTTCTTTTTTCACTTTAAAAAAAATAAATTAATTAAAATATGTGCATAATGATTGGAGGAAAAAAAGACATGTTTATTGGCACTATAATAATTATTATTATGATTAAATTACTTCAACTGTATATGAGTTTATGTGTGTCACTGTGATAATAGTGATTTTTATGCTATGATTAAAATAAATCTGCTACAAATGAATTAAAATTTGGAAGTGTATTGTACATTTATTTGTGCCATAACTGAAATGTATATTATTCAGTTATTAGATACTGTGGTTGAATAAAAAGTGAAATATTTTTCAATATTTTGTTTTAGTTTAATGATTTTTCCATTTTAGATGAAGAATATCACTTGCAATCTCACTGAATTTAATCAATTTCATTTACACCAAGACAATTAATAAATTTCATATTTAAATTTTTCAGTGGAACAAATAATTGAAAGTAGAACTAGTTTTGATAATAAAACGCCATTTCTACTTCAATTTAAAAACGTTATGCATATTGATTGACCTGTGTGTATTATTAAAATTTACATATTTTAATTATAATATGGTTAGATTAAAAAGAAAAGATATTTAAAATAAGCTATTTGTTGGCAAAAACTAATTCCTGGAATCATTTCATTTATGGAAAAAAAAGTACATATATGTTTGTTTTCTTTTTGAAATCTAAAGAAAAAACATGAAATTTAAAAAAGTTTTTAACTTAAAAAAAAAAGGACAAAATTTTTTTTTTTTAAAATAGATAAATGAGTACGAGAAGAGCGATTACAAAAACAGATGAGCAGCAATTCAAACAAAAACTGGGGATGAAA